ATCTATCTATCTATCTATCTATCTATCTATCTATCTATCTATCTATCTATCTATCTATCTATCTATCTATCTATCTATCTATCTATCTATCTATCACTCTAGTAAGGAAAACCTACTGTGAATATATAAGTACACGTAAAGTACTTCACATTATAAAGAAAGACATTTTCATATAAACCATTTATGAATGCATCTGAAGCAGTAAATGACCTCAACACATGTTTTGTTCTCTCTGGTGAAGTCGTGGGACAGATTTAAGAGCATACAGTACTCTGGGAATCGGTTTTAGAAAACCCAGTTCTTAATGTTTTGAAAACTGACTTCGCAGCCCAAAGGCTTTTATTTTTGCAAATTTTATTGTTGCTGTTCCCTAGTGCCCTGTAGAGTTTCCAGCTCCACATTTTCCCACTGCACAGAGACCACATTTGGCCAGTGCTCCACTAGTAGATGCTCTTAGTCTGTTTCTCTGGCAGATATTTGAGATTCCTCTGCTTGCACATCCTTAGCCTCGGGCAGTGGTTACCTCTCCCCCTGTATCACAGCCATTCAGGGCGCTCCTCCAGCTGAAGGCTCACACTACCTAACATATGCACTTTGGAAAGGGTTTCTATCCAAAGTGGCTGTGTAACTACACTTTTACAAAACGGCACAAGATTAATAGTAATGAGTTCAAACAGGTTCAGATTGTAGACTCAGACAACCATTAATACCAGGGGATGACTAAATCACTGTACATATGGTCCTCTAATTAGTTCAGAGAACAAAATGTACTGTGTACAAAACAACATATACCGTGAGAGGAAAGTTAAACGGTTTCCTCAAAACACTACGGTCTAAACAGAGAACGGTTCTGCCAGCTTTAGAGAAGCTTTCTGTCTGAATATTATTTTCTTAGTCAGGCAGTGATTGTAATTTGACAGTTATGAGTCGTATTAGTAATTAAATAACTGGAAACAAATATAGAACTAAAATTAAACTACGTCTATTGGGCAAAACTATTTTGTGATCTACAAAATCTGTTGAGTAAAATAAGTGTCCTGTTTCATAGCCCTGACACCTCTGTGCAACCTAAACCTGAGTTCTGTTCAAGTTGCCCTCATTATCTTTGTTACCTGTTAATAGTGTTGTTTATTATAAACTTTAAAAAATCACCAAGCTGTTTGCCTTTAATGCAGTGGTAATGAGTTCATACAAAGATACAGATATACATAATACCAGTAGCAGTTAAAATGGCATAAATGATGCATTTAAAAATATTAGTAAAATCACTTCTGCACAGCTCACGTTTTGCTGATTTTACTTTCCTTTTCAGATCCACACTACAGAAATCAGTGCCTGGCCTTAGAGCCATTGATAGCCAGGAAACATATTCCTTTTTCTTGCCTCCAGCTGTTCAGCAGGTCAGCTCGGCCTCAGACTGCTTCCTAACTTTCTGCCAGGCTCAGCTTCAGCAGACTCAGAATTTACAGCAGCATCACAGCAGGGAGCACAGGTAAGAGACAGGCTGCCTGTGTTGATGTGCTGGCAGTGTGCTATGTGTTTAGTGTGGATAGCTGCAGGTTTTGCCGGTGGTTGGATGTGTGTTTGACCCCAGAAGTTACTGCTAACACTTTCTTAAGTTATCCACATTGTGGAAGAGAAAACAATCTGCAGATACAAGTGCTTATTGTGAACTCAGTTTACACAATTTCCATATTGTCAGATTTCATACTCACACTCATCTTATATGATCTGTATTTGTAAACTAAAATATTGCAGGTAAGCTGCAGATTTCTGGAGAAGCTTGAAAGCAGATCATGGGGAAGAGGTGTGAAATGTTCAGCTTCAAATAATAAAAATAAACTGGTTATGGTAATAGAAAACGAGTACTGTACTGCAGAATTCTCGTCTCTTCTACGGTATGCATAAAAATCAAGTTATGTTTGACTGAGAGTACTTCAGATATAAAGAGGTGGGATGAAGGCATGAGGTCAAACGGAGAACAGGTTAAAAAGAAAAGCAGAATCAAATAGTAAAAGGGAATAATACAGAACAGGGCAAAACAACAAAAATAACCCAAAACCAATGCACCAGAGGTTATATTACACTTTTTTTGTCGTGTGCTGCTGAACCTGTCAGAGATACCGCCATCAAGCAGCGAGGAATGTTAGCTATCCTCTTGTTATGTCTGATACATAGGGCGTAGTGAGCCTAAAGACAACGTCCATCTATTTTCACAAGTCCTTCAATGTCACTGGCCTCTGCACATATTGACACTCCTATACAAGGAGGACCACCAGCACTTAAAACAGTGGTCAACTTTCTGCTTATCTTCCTGACCTTTTCAAATTACACAGTACAAAAGATGAAACGCAGTGGCGGCTTCTTGTATGGGTCACATCGAGGACTCCTATGGCTTGGGGGAGGTTACCGTGGCCCTTCCCTTGCTTCGCCCCTCACTGTGTGCCCTCTACCCTTCTGGCCTCTGGACAATGAGCCATTTTGGGGGCTTTGCAAGAGCCAACACAGCCATTTAACCCCTGGCCTGACCTTGTGTCAGACTGAGTTTTTAGGGGAGTTGAGAAGAGTGCCACACGCCAGTCAACTGGTGACTGTAAGGTGAGGTACTGTGGCTTATTAGGGCTATTACTCTCTTTTACAAGGTGTAGGGATTCTACCAAAGTGCCTCTGTTTCACCCATAAATGAGCATGCCTTACAATCCAGTCCTGTATGCCATTAAATCAAAATATTTTGTGGATGAGGTGGGAAAAAGACCAATAAACCCATCTACTACCGCAATCTCCCCACTTTTTCCACTGCATTCTATGGCACTCAATATTTTTTAGGTTTGAATTGCTCCTAATGTGGTTGTAATGTAAAAGAAGTGAATCAAAAATTATGTTTCTATGTCATGTGGAAAAAGATGGGTTATAGAGTTTTGCTAAAGCTAATGTGTGAGCAGTCTGAGTTAAACAAATGAAATGAGTACTTTCCACTCATTGTGCCTTCTGTTTGTGGTACCATCACACAGTACGGTAAGGAAAAACTGCAAAGGAAAAAAGCCAAAGCTTTGAAGAATGAACCAGTATTAGTCCATTTCAGATTGCTGAAACCTCATTTTAGCATTAGCTAAATGTGCCCTGAGCATCTTACAAAGGGTAGTGTGAACAGCAGAAGCAACTACAGCAACCTATATGTTTTTTTTGTGTTTGTTTTCATCAACATTTTAGCATTATGTCTTTTATCCTTTCTCCCACCATTCACCGCAGCCAGTCATGTGAGATAGCTGGCCCTCCCTCTGGTTCTGTCGGAGGTTTTCATCCCCACTGTTGCCTAGTGCTTGCTCTTAGGGGTCGTCTGATTGTTGGGATTTTCTCTCTGTTTTTATCAATTTTATTGTTATCACCAAACCACATTTTTCACCCACAATGTAGAAAAAGTGAACATAGAAGTGAAACAGTTACACTAGACTTTTGTTGTGTTAAGTATACATATCATTTCTGGAGCTGTGAGGTCTTCTATGTTCTGTTCATAGTTGTCTGACAGTTGCGACAGACACAAATTGAATTTGCAAAAGGACAGTAAACGCCTCTATAATATAACTAGTATAGGGTTTGCTGCTGGCTCAGGAATTTCTTACAGCTCTCGACCTCAGTTTTTTGTAGAGTGGCCTCCTGGGGACACCCATGTGATAAAGCAACACCAAATATCTCTAAATTTCCTGTATTGTAAGTCAGAAGACAAATAACCACTGAGAGCTTTTAGCATCTACATACATGGTTGGATATGTTCACAGGCGAGCATTAATCAGTGAATAACTTTTCATTTTCCTGTCATGAACATTGTATACTGAAGCTTTCTTTTACCCGTGTTATGGTGACCCTGGAGTGAACCAGCAGGTAGAGGGAGGGAGGGTCACTGGTGTCACAATCCTTTAAGACCTTCTGACTCTTCTCTTTCTTATCCCACTGAGAGTAAAGAGCGAGGTCTTTGTAGAGAAGAAGTTGCACTACTTGTGGCTACTGGCCTTCCAGACTGGCCGAGTGTCTCTGGCCCCTCGGGGTTTAAGACAAGGAGTGGAGCATAGCTAATAGATTAATTAAGTTTCCATTGAGGTAGCTTTGTTGTCAGTTTATCCCCTCTATGAAAGAGACATTATATGGTATTAGGGCACACACAGACCAGGCAGACAGCTCTCTCTTTCTCTCTCGCCCCCTCACCACCCCTACCCTCACATAAATATAAGGACACACACTGACCACACCTATCACAGGCTGGCCAAGAATAAGAGCTAAAAATGGATATATATTTGATATTTAACTCAAAATGGAATGGCTTTGATCCTTTTTGAATGATTTAATTTTTAGAATGTATGTGAATCTATTCTGGAAACAGAACAATTTTCTTCTCATCACCAGTATAATTAAATCTGACCTGCATAAAAGTCAAAGTTATAGCTTATCTGCTTTTACAGTATCAGACCAATCCTCTCCATGGATTTCTCCTCACAGGACATAGAAAAGCCATATTTAAGGAATCTCATTCTTGCATTAAACAACCCTAAAAGTGGATAACTGCTTCTCCTGAGCTCAGAATAATATGAAGACATTTAAGCATTGCTGTAATTTTCTTTAGGGGTCATGAAATATAAATCATCATGGATGTGTAGCACAGTCTGTAGTCTCACACTTCTCATGCAAGGAGGTTCAGTTATTGCTACTCAAACCACTGCTTACAGTAAACCTATTAAATAAATTTGATTGGGAACCATGTGGACTAAGATTAACTTTAATGTCATTCACTTTATTGCCATTGCACAGTCATACTTTGTGTTGTACAATGAAACTGGGGTTCCTTCCTTCATCGGTACTAAAAGAAAGGCGAACAGTAATCATGATAAATAAGATATATGCAGAGTAAGGTGTACTTGAAATGCAGAAATGAAATGGGCAGCGATAAAAATATATGTGCAAAAATAAAATCAGTTATGTAGGTCAGGTCAGGTCAGGTATTTGCATTGATTAGGACTATTGCCCTGTTGTCAAAACTGGTTTGTATTGGCAGTTAATAATGTAACGTGAAATATTTTTGTATGTGTTTGTTTACAGCAGACTTGCATTTCCTTTTAATGATGTGCAAAGCTTCTGCCGGCACTTCAGTATGACTCTGAAGCTGGCTGAGGACCAGAGATTTGCCCATGAATATGGTGAGACCACTGTGTCTGATGAACACTGGGCTGCAAGTCAAACAGCGCCTGAGAAAACACTGGATAGTGTCATTGGTGAAGAGCTTATGGATTGCCGAGATATAGAGTCCACTAACAAATTACCACCAGTCTTTCCAAATAGAGACATCATGAGATGCAGCTATTGGAATTTTGATGAGACTCCAGCTACAGAGAGTCACTATGACACATTTGGCCCAAAACAGGGTCCAGCGACCTTCTTCAGTGATGAAAAAGCATCTGTCTCCAGCCATCAAGACTTAAACCTCAAAAAGTAATTCACTCTCTGCTTTTATCTGCGTCACTTGTGTGTATGTTTGTATATTCACTCTAATAAAACCTTTGTATTCGATGAAAGATCAGCTGATTAAAATGCATGCGATGAAAACCTCCAAATTCATTCAAGGTATACAACTGGATGCTGCCGACTTAAAGCAAACACTCTGTTTTTATGTAATTCTTTTAACAGAGCTCAGCCTTTTATTAGTTTCTGCTGCAAAGCATTTGTCATCATTGGAGCCTCCTCTACTTGATTTACACCAGAAGACGTTGAAGATTTTATTCATTTTAACACGCAGCTTTATCATTAACACCGTGCTATCTTTGGGAGGACAATAGATCTTTGATTTGAAGGGTGGCTTTAGACAGGCTTAAACTCTCCAGAGTCCTGCTCTCCAGATGTCTGCTCACATATAAATTCATGTTTTGAAAGATGAAGGTGCTATGACATCATGTGCAATACATCCCTCACTTTGTGTGTATTTAAATGCCTGTGTGTGTGTGTGTGTGCCCTTTTTTGAGCAGCACAGCAGCAGTTGTGATTCAGCAATGTTGGAGGAAATACAAGCAGATATGTGGGAACATTAATGCTCCCCCCATCACAGAGAAAAGAGGAGAAAGAGGAGGAGATGGAGGAAAGCCAGAGTCAAGACTTTGCTATATTAATAGGAGCACTGCTGGCAAACACTATGCGGCAACTGTCATCCAGGTAAAACATTTGTAGCTTGTAGCATTTGTAGCGTCCTAGAACACTTTCCCTCTGAAGATGTCTCGGTAACAACTTGCAACGGTTATCCAGGCGAGTTCATATGAATTCAGTCAATCAAACTGTTTACTGGTAATAGACCTCATAGCACCATATCACCCCAACAGAGCACTTTGCTCTGACACTGCTGGCTTATTTACCTAGGATGTTTAAAAGTAAAACAGGAGGCAGAGCCTTCAGCGTCCAGGCCCCCCTTCTGTGGAACCAGCTACCATTTCGAAGTAGGAGATAGACACCCTCTCTACTTTGAAAATTAGCCTTAAATCTTTCTTTTTTGAATTGGAAATGTTGTAGTACTAAATCCTCCATTTTTTATGCTGCAATAGGCCTAGGCTGCTGGGGGCTTCGCAAGGTGCACTTTCTTCTTCATTCACCTTTTTTCACTCACTATGTGTTTACACACCTCTCTGCATTTAATCATTAGTTATTATTAAACTCTGTCTCTCTCTGTGTCCTTTGTCCTGTGTTCCTCCCCACACCCACAACTTGTGACAGCAGATGGCTGCCCCTCCATGCGCTTGGTTCTGCTGGAGGTTTCTTCCTGTTAAAGTTTTTTTTTTCACTGTCGCCAAATGCTTGCTCATAGGCGGTTGTCTGATTGTTCGCAATTTTCTCTTTATTATTTTAGGATTTTTAGCTTACAGTATTAAGCACCTTGAGGGTATTGTTGTTGAGATTTATATCCATCTATCCATTGGGCCACTGTGGCTATGACGTCTATTTTCATTTCGCAGTTACAGAATTCAAAGGCAGAGGATTTTTGGTCGCAAAAGCTTTTAGGTTCCTTCTTGTGGCCTGAGTTTTATGTGTGTAGCCCAGATGCATTGCTTGATGCTTTGCATTTGCTTTGAACATAGCCTGGCTACACTAAAATCCCTGAAAGATCTACTGTTGCTCCTAGAGGCTAGGACAGCAGAGTCAAGGGCTAATCTGACTGCTATGTCCTTTATGCAGATAGCAGAAACTGCTGAATATCACAGAGAGCAAATAGTTGATTTGTTCTATTTTGGGTTCATTAATTAGTGAGTTTATAAAAATTTGATAAAAAAGAGTAGGAAAAAACCCCATCAGAGTTTGTCATAGTTTAAGTTTATGCGTTTAGAAGAAACTGCTCACATTAACCTTTTATTGTGTAATTAAGGATCTTACTTCTGCATGTAGAAAGTGTGCTTGAAGTCACTTCCTCTTTGTGGATATCTGAAAATGCCAATTTTCATCGTTGAAAACTGAACTTCAGGCCTCATACGTTCTTGAGGCTTACTCGGCTAATCCTCTGCACAGAGGTGTAAGCCGCTCTTCTGAAAAACATGCTACTCATCACCCCTCTCAAATCCCTTTTCAACACACAAAGTGTTTGATGACTCCTTGAGGGCTAGGTAGAGGCTGGGAGTTGCCGTGTACCGTGCACTACAGCACTGTGTAAGTGTAAGTGTGTGTTTTGTGCATGTCAGGGGGGTATAGAGTGATTAATCAGATTCCAAAGACGTGCGGTAGTAAGAGTTCTAAAATTCCTGTGCGGCTCAACTTGAAGTGAAGTGTGCCCCCCCACCCGCCCATTGGGAATTGCAGGATTTAGAGGCGCACTGGAGCTCTATTTGTCTCAGAGCAGCCTGGAGTCACACAGAGTTCAGACAGCAGAACACTCAGCAATTAAAAGAGGGGTTAACATGTTTTATCTTCCTAATGGGATAACATGCAATATTTACGTTTGCTCCATGATTCATTGAGCAACTACCATTTCTTTTTCTGGGTACCTCCAGGCATTCTGGAGGGGCTACACTCTGAGGAGGAGGCTCACATCTGCTCTTGCTGCTGTGACATGCCCCAGTGTTGGAGAGGATGACACCTTTGAGGAGGTGGACATAGATGAATTTGTCTTTGATGAGGTATCTGCACAAGCCTGCATGTTCTTCACTTTCACGATTCGGCAGTTGTTCCCCATCTCGCACCCCATCAGACCAACAAACCTGCACAGAGGCTAACACATAAATGTAACACATAAATATAGTACTGTATACTATATATATATATATATCCACAAAGACACTTTATTTGTGGTTTGTTTGTCATTGCCGTCCAAAAATTAAAGTATTTTTCATTTTCATAAAGGCAGCTTTGGAGGAACACTGCACATTGATGCTTTCTCAGGACTCGTCTCCCAGACATCAACTTGTGTCAGAGCAGCAATTATCTATGAAGGTAAAGTTTGATATTCTTAAAACCTGGTAGTCTTGACATGATATTCTCTAATACTTTGAAACCTGCTATGCAAATTGTGAATTTTGGGATTTACCATCTTGTGTTATGTCAGTGTTGGAGTTATTTTCTTGCTTGTCTCCCTCCCCTCCAGGAATTGTCTCACCCTCCCTTATTGATCTCTAAATTTATTCACTTGGAAAAACAGGATTATTTCCTGGAGGGCTGAAAGTTGCACAGCACCAGCAGATGTCATTTTTCATGCTGGCTGGACTGTCGTCCTGTTTTTTTTCTTCATTTACCTCTCGTTGGATCTTTTCTTTGGAGCGTGCTCAGCGCTGTACATCATGGTAGCCAGTTTAAGCAAGTTGATGTGGTGCAGCTGCTAGCGTGGTCAGCCTCAATATGTTGACACTGAGGCACAGATCAAAGGCAGGGGATGAACAATTTAGCACTTCGACCAAGAGAAAATAGAATCTGGAGAGTAATTAAGCTGTTACTTTCACTTAAATATGAGAATTCCATGATTGTGAACCGTTCACTCGGTCAGCCACGTACCTACAACAGAAATAGGCCCCTGAGTTAAGTGTCACTGGATATAATAGTGTAGAATGTAATCACTTTCCCCAAGAGTTACAGATAACTGTAGTGTTATTCCTTGAAAAATTACTTAGTATGCCACAACAGACCGCTTGTAACTATAATGAAAACAGGCACAATTTTACTTTTGTTACAGGTCCTTTAAGTACACAGATGTCAGTTGAAGTTTTCCACTAGTAATCTATGTCTATTTTTTTCCTAGGATTTTTGAGTGTGCTCAAGTTCATAAATACAGGAGAAAGCTACATTAGTTTTTCCGGCCTGAAAAACACATTCAATTTCTTAAAAAACTGCAACCAAATCAATTTTGCACAAACTCCAAGTGTCACAGTCTAAAGCTAAAAATCCTGCCTTTGTTCAGCGTGGTTTTATCTCCAACCAGCTTTGAGTTTGATGAACAGTATAATAATGAAACATTTAGAAACTGAAAAAGCAAAGCCGCTCCGATTTAATGTCTGTGATGCAGAATAACAGAAATAAAAACACACACTGGTATCCTGGATGTTTTATGTGTATTCTGGTAATTCATTAGGAAAACTACAACAAGTGTGTTTTGGTAACATTTCAAGGTAACAAAAAAAAAAAGAAAAGTAACTTATGACTGTCATTAATTGATATATGTATTTCAGCCTCCTGGGCCCTGTCTTGATCCCTCCCAGGACATACTCCCCCTACCAAAGCACGCCTGGATGGCTGGGGAACATGTGGACGGTTCTAACAGGTACAACAACCCACAGCCACATTTGAAAAAGCTGTTTATTTTAAGCTTTATATAGATTTTCATAATTATTGTACAAAGTTATATAGGGAAAAAGAAGATAAATAATTTTCATAATAGGACATATAGCAAACAGTGTTGATTTGTGACATTAATATTTTTTGTTAAATCAACTCCAAGTAGAAAAATACAATCTTTGCTAAGCACATTAAAGAGTCGGATGTATCTTTGAAGTTAGAGATTTTAACTGGGTTTACTTTTTCACATATGAAGCTCATGATATGGCGTTTGCTCTTGGAACAAAATACAGACAACCCGAAGTATGTGTTTAAGTGTTTCATGGATAGGAAAATATAAATCTGATATTAAAAATGCAAGGAACAATAATCAAACGGATCCTAATAATGCAAGATTTTAATGTCATAAGATTTTAGTATAGCATAGAAAAAATGATGATACAGATGTTGAAATTTCACTTTCTGGATATAAAAATGAGGATGACACACACTCTAAATCACGTTTATATTTTTGTTATGGTTGTGATCCACAAAATTTATCCACATATTCAGCTAGCAAAACACTCAAATAAGCAGGTCACTGAATGACTGTTCAGTTCTCCTCTCTATGCTGTTCAGCTGATGTCACTGGTAATCTATAAAGTGGTAATATTTGTTTTCGTTTACTTTTTTACTTGGTGGCATACAAATCATAAAATTCAATGGCTTCCATTGAGGAAAAAAATGAAATGGAAAGGAAAACAAGGCAGCACTGCTCCACTTCCAGCATGCTTGTTATGTTGGTTACAGTTATGTGGATGACAGGTGCATCTTTTGCTACAGACCAGACAACAGTTTTCAGCTTAAGAGTTTGATCAAGCTTCAGTTCAAGAGCTGGAGCAGGAGTGTGCTTTTCCTTTTTTAAATGAACTTTTAGAGGACTGAGACTTTTAAACAATCAAATGTTTAATGCATGTTTCTACTGTAAGATCCCAAGGCATCTGAGAGAACAGTTGCTACTAAAGACCACAGCTGTGGAGCATGCCACCATCAGAGTGCACTGAAAATGTGTTTTTGGCCCCAATGAAGATTGTGTTTGGACACACAAACACAATCTTCAATCACCACTAGCCCTACTCGCCCAGTTTAGCTCCCTTTTTCCTTAAATGAAAAAGGGAGCAAAATTTTGCACTTTGCACATCTCTATTGCACGTCCAGTGAGCATAATAATATTAGCAGCCATGCAGGAAAAAATACAGGACAACCTTGACTTAAAGATAAGCCATAATTCAATCCCAAAAGATTTAAATATGTGTAGTCCTGTTGTGAATTTCTGCATCTCAAGTTATGTTTTTAAGGACAATAATTTCTTTATGATTCCAGAAACACATCTCCTACTTCCACTTCAGCGCTTAGTGGTCTCTCTGAAAGATCAGAAAAGATTCTAGAAGAATGGTAAATCATCATCTCCTCCTCACTGCTTGCTGCAACTGTGTGTTGTTAGTAAATGGCAGAATGGCACTTTCTATTTGTCTTTTCTTTCCTTGCCATCTGCAGGGGCTTTACTGACAGCCACACAGCACTTCTGCTGCTGAGGAGAGCTCGGAAGATGAAGTCAAAGAGACAACTGCAAAAGAAGCAAAGGGGTTAGTGTGTTTAAAGTGGGATAGGTGGAAATTTGAGATTTGGACCCTTTGTGTTTGCATGTGTGCTTTTTATGCAGTAGTTCAGGTAGAAAATTCCCCATAAAATTTGAATGCTGTGATTGAAGATTAAACACTGTTGTGGTTTCCTTCTTCAGTCACCTCATATGCAATGCTTCCTTCATTCATTAATCCTTCTACACCTCAGCTGATGTTTCTGTCTTTGTATAGTTCACAAAATGGAGATAACTCCTGTTAAGACATAAATCTGTTGTCTAAAAAGGAAAAAGATCTCTCTTCATTCTCATTCTTCAGCCGTGCTTTAGTAGCAGTGAACCTTTCCGCCGCATGTATGTTAATGAGCCATAACAGACAGCAGAAGCCAGGGCTGTCACCTCTCATTGGACTTATTTACGAGCCTGCAAAGGAAATAACTATTGCCAAGAAACCTCATGACAAGTCGTCTTGTGGCAACTTTCATTCCATTTCATTGTAGTGGTTTAGTGTAACTGCAGTGAAAGGTGACCTCACCTCTGCTCTGTTCCAAGAAACAGTAGTTCTGCCATGGGTATCATGTCATGGTCATGTAATGGGAGGTTGGTCTTTGATCAGACTTTCAAATGCATGATTGCATTAGTGGTGCTCTTGTCATCTTGCTCCACCGACACACAGGTCTTTGTCGGCTTTAACTCCTAATGGCATCTGCCTCAGCTGAACCACAGCGCTGTGTTACATATGCACTAATATTTTCTGAATGTTTGATCCTGGTTTTCTGCTTCTGGTTTAAAGCCTGGCGTGTCCTGCTTTGACCTTCTCTTTCTTGCTGTGTTAGATCCCTCCGTCCGACTTGCCTTGTTCAGAAATTGTAATTACCAGCTTGGTCCAGCGGAGGCACAAAACACAACAGCACGATACAACAGAAATTATGCAAAAGGTAAGAAAAGAGATCTATGCATATTTTCTAACCCAGTAGTATTTCAAATGCTTGGATTATTTTTATTTACTATTTAAGTCTGGTCTTAAACTGGACCATTGCAAAGCAGAAGGGGTAGATGGCCTCACATTTGTCTCTAAAATACTGTGGTATATAGAGACACTCATGAGCAACTCAGTGATTGCAATTTTCAAAGGTCCTGCAACTACAAAACAAGCCCAAATCACCACTCCTCCGCCGCCGTGCTTAACAGTTGGTGAGAGGTTTTTGTGCTGATATGTTGTGTTTGGTTTTTGCCTGTTGGGCCACTGTGCTTTATGACCCAACATCTCCGTTTTGGTCTCATCAGTCTAGAGGGAAAAGATGTCTTCTGGATGGCTCAAATGTCCACATTCTTTTAAAAGAGAAGAAGCTTTCTTCTGGCAACCCCTCAAAGCCATATTTTTCCAACCTTTTTCTAATTGTACTGTCATGACGGTCAGGGTGTACTTTTCACAGGACTGTATGGCACAACGTTTTTCCAAAGAGTTTTCAGTGTTATGGAAATACAGTGTCAAAAAAGGCTATGGATTGATTATATGTGGGATAGTGTGATTGGTTGAGAAGAGTCAAAAGCCTCCCTCCACCTTCATCCATATTCTGCTGTGGCCTGGTGCCCTGCCCTGAGGTGCAGAGAGGATTTGGCATTGTGACACACACAGACAGACTTAAAAGGAAGGGAAGCGCTGGAGGGAGAGCATAAGTGAGAGTTTTGGGGGGGG